TTTCTCATTTTGTCTCTCATAGTTGAGGTATACCTATGATGAAAATTACAGGCCTCTCTCATCTTTTTAAGTGGGAGAACTTGCACAATTGGTGGCTGACTAAATACTTTTTTGCCCCACTGTATGTGTATGTATAGAGAGTCAGTTTGGTGTAGTGGTTAAGGCACCAGGCTAGAACTGGGAGACTGTGACTTCAAGTCCTGCATTAAGCATGAAGCTGGCTGGCTGGCCAGTCCCTCCCTCTCAGCCCTAGGAAGAAGGAAAAACCTTGCCAAGAAACCTGCAGGGACTTCTCCAGGCAGTCACCAGGAGTCAACACTGATTCAGAGGCAATCAATCAATCAATCAATCAATCAATCAATCAATCAATCAATCAATCAATCTTAATATGGAGAGCCAATCTGGTATAGTGGTTAAAGCACCAGGCTAGAAACCAGGAGACTATGAGTAAAGCCAGCCGGGTGACCCTGAACAGTTACTCTCTCTCAACCTGTCAGCCTTGCGAGGTAGTCCAGACAAGAAGCATACCCAGGAGTACTTGCTCTATCTTTATTAAAAGGTTATAGTAACAGAATCTTACAAGTCTGAAAGTATTCCTCCCTCCCTCACTTTTACGCTTCCGAAAACTAGGCAGGGTCTCTTCTGAGATGCTTTTGTGACCCCTATTCCTTCGGACTAAAATTTTATCAGGCCATTATCTAGGCTGCGGCTCTTCCTCCTGTCTCCCAAGGTCATTCCCACATGCCATAACACAGCCTAAGAAGAAAGCAATGGCAAGACACTTCTAAAATGTTGCCAAGAAAACTGCAGAGACTAGTCCAGGCAGTCACCAGGAGTCAATGATGACTCAAAGGCTATATATATGTATATATGTATGTAAAAAAAATAAACTTCAGAGGAACATCAACAAAATGAAAAGCTGTCTAGTATCAGTACATTGTTTGATCAAGCCAAGAGCAGTTTTGCCTCCAATGGCAGCAGTTCTCCACAAACCACATTCCCAGGGAACCTCTTCCAACCATGCTTGAAATCTGTTAACCAGGAACTGATGGTGGATCAGCCTCCATACAACACATTTTTTTTAACCTCTAATCAATTTTTATTGTAAAAATTTTTCAGTTGCTGCATTTCAGCTTTCTGCTTTTGTGCTGGCCCATGCAACACCAAAACCTTTTTTTTTAATCAGTTAGGTGCTCTATCATGCACAGAACTTTAAATCAGAATCCTGGAGAATCCTGGCTTATTGTTCATTAGCTACATGAATCTAAAGGATAAACAACTCAGGAGTCTTAATTTAGAAACAATTACAGAGCACTTAATTTTTGGTCAGTTTAAATATCCCCACTGGCTGAAAAGCAAAAGGAATAAGACACAGAGGAATTTCTGAGAAAATATGCATGAGACTGAGCTGCAAAATATTGCTTCAGATTTTGGAATCCTTTGTTATTTTGTCAAAGTGGCTTTAGGACATCCAATACTATTCACATTTAAGCTTACTGGCTACAAATTGCATTTTCCAGGGAAACATTACCAAAAATATCAATGAGTACAATGAGTTTTGGAAGGCTTGGGTTTTAATTAACATGAAACCACAATGTCTAGCATTTTTTCCATATGAATGGCAAACCTGAAATTCAGGAGCATCAATATATAAGCCTGCAGATAGAAAAACCTGAACTTTCATCAACTATGTTTTATACAGTAACAAGAGCTGTCTGCATAAACAAAGCACTGCTAAACCCTTAACACCGTAACAAAACTGTCTACAGACCAATATTCAAAGAAAAATCAATTCAAACAACTTTCCTTATTTTATTAAATAAAAGCCCAGTCATGCTACATATTCACACAATTAGCTCCATCAGTCAGGAAGCTGGTGTTAGTGACTTCTTCCAAATTCTGTATAAATTGCGGAAAGGTCCATCTCTCACAGCCTTAAACAAGATCCAACTCTTCTCCTAATTCTATGGTGTAGGTAGACTCAGGGAGAGGAGAAAGCTTTGATCTTCTTGTTTGTGTCAGGGATATGAAGAAAGGAAATAAGGCTAGTTTCATTTTACCACTTCCCCTGTCTCCATGTGCACATATCCTGGACCCCTGAATGCAACTACCCAAACAAGGTTGGTATTTCTAATGGGAAAACAGTTACTATACAAAAGCTTGAGTTTGTTTTTTTCATTATATGAACACTGCAAGATGTGCTCCTCAGTTACAGAGAAAGAGGCATTATACATACCCAATATCATTGTCCTGTTCTGCTCTGAGCATGGCAAACCACTGCTGTTTGTAAACAGAGGACAGCCAGTCTAAAATTTAGAAAGACCAAAGTGGGCCTTTTATGAATGAGGTAAGTAAGTTAAGCAGCACTTATACGTTTTATCTGTATTTATTTACAAGGCTTCTATGCGTCCCAAAGTGATTCTGAGCAGCTTATGTACCCCATTTATGTAAAGAAGATGAAAAAGTAGAGTCTAAAAACAAACAGCAATAAGTTTTGAGAAGGAAGTGAGGGCCAAGAAAAGGAAAGGCTACTATCTCGTTTGCTGTTCTTCCACACAGGGGGACTCTGTCATAACTCCTCTTTTTCACAGATATGCACTACTAGGACGAGATAACCAGCTATCTAAAATAAGAGCACCAGCCATTCGACTCTTAAAAGATTCTGCTGGCATCTAAGTGAAGTGAGGAAATGGGTCCAATATGTGACAGAAACTGTGAAATGTGTGTTTGGACACACACACACAGACACACACTCACAGAAGGTGAACGTTAAGAAATATTATTATTAGCAGCTTTTGGAATTTAGCAGGCATAGGTGTTGGGCTTTATGTAGCAGGACGAGAAAATTCTACACAGTAGTAAATAAATAAAGAAATGAGAGCAAGTGGCATGTGCTAAGATTAAGGGGGAAGGCAGTGACCAAGAGCTGAAACCTGTTCTAGAGAGGGTTGAAGAATAATGTTTAAAAATAAGTAATAAAGGGAACAGAGGAATTTAATGTGCTGGAAACAACTTTTAAAAACCGTAACGGAAATAACTTAAATCTTGCCACAGACTAGTTTAAGTGCCTGAAACTGATTCAATGGTTGCAAAAATGATGATTGGGCAATTTTACCACCAAGTCACCTACACTTGTTGGTGGCACACAGATTTCTACATTCTATATGTGGGAACCCTTTCAAAGACCCATCGATTCTGATTTCACTTTCTCAAGTGGAGAAAGGCATGACAAAGAAAAAAAAAAGCTACTCCATTCTTACCTGCAGGGATCAGGCTGTCTCGCTCAACAATTCTTGCCGATGCCAGATCACTGATTATATACTGCAGCCTCAGATGTCTGAACACTGTTAAAAATGCATTTCCTTGTTCACTTTCCAAGAATGAGATGCCATCCCCAAAATCTGAAAAGTTACAGCAGATTCTTAAGAGTTCAAACATATTTTGGTTCTGTGCATTTCAGGCAAGCTACATATTATCAGTCATCTGTTAAGTAAAAAGTGGTGTTGCATTCTGTAGGCAGTTTATCAATCCCAACACAGAAGCCAATTCAGATACGGTTTAGTAGGATTATATCCTGATTTGCTTTTAAAAGTAATTAACAGTGACTCAGAAAGAAAATTAGTGGAAAGTGGAATTTTTTGGGCAGGACAAGATTATGGACTATAAGCCTCCCACCCCACACAAAAGAAATGCATATTGTGCCCACAGGAACAACCCATTAGTGTAGAGTTAACTTCAAGGTCTATCCTGTTTCAAAACTTTCCAACATGCAAAATATTCACAAAGCGTTTCATAAAGACCTTTCCTGCGCTTGGAAAACCAGGCATCTGCTTCACTTAAAAGCTGTTTTAGTGACCCATTCCAAGAAGGCACCAACTGAAGGAACATCCACTACATAAAACAAAGAAGTAGCTGTAAGGTTGACTTCAACATACACTAAGTAACTACAGCTTTACACAAACACACATGTACTCAGTTTCTACTAAAAATGGTTGTTTACAGATAGAGAATATCATGACTGCTCTGGCTTGTATTTGGGAATGAAGGCATTATAGTACCAGTTGAACTGCAGTCTGGTACAAATCATTTCTCGGGATTTTTGGTGAAGAAACGACAGTTTGTTCTGTTAGAATGCAACTAAAGAATTAACTGGTGACATATTTATAAGGAAAGCAAGCAAAAAAATAAGAGGGGAAGAAGAGAGAAGCAGCCAACAGTGGGACCCAGTAAAATGAGAGAAAGGAAAGAAGATAACCAAATAAATAATCATTCTGTAAATATGCACAGTGGAGTCTTCTTTGTACTTCTTTAAATATCCTGCGCCATCTTGTAATCCAGTGTTATTCTTAAATCAGTTTTAATGGTTCATGAATCAACTAGTACCATGAATAACCACGATACAGAAAATGATCACCTGTCAAAGACACTGCACCATCAAGAAAGAACAGGTAGGAGAGGTGACAACATCAGCCTAAGTTCAAATTCCAATATAAGAATATTGTCAATTTTGAGGAAACGGCAGTGGGGTTTAAAGGTTATTTTTCTATCACCAAAACAAACTTGGAACAAACTGTGACATTATTCAATGTTAGTACCTTCTTTAGAGCAGTATAAATGTCCATCTCCACTTGCATGACAAACAGGTTAGAGGAACTAATCAGCTGTTTCATGAGGTTTATGCTGAAACAAACAATGTGACCTTTGAATTGTAAAGGGCATGAATTGTGTTTAGGTCAACAGACTTATCTGAATTGCATTTTATTATGCTAAACATGTTCCCATAGTATCTCGGTTAATCCTGAAAACTCAATACCTGAGTTCTTTGAGGAGTTCCACACTCTGGTGGGTCATCAGGTTGTTCAAGAGCCACTCAAGACACCTAGATTTAAAATAAGTAAGTCCTTTCATAGCACATAGATAATGCTCTGATATGCAATGTATGTTTTAAACAAGCCGCTGAGCACTTTTCCCCAGATGTTAAAGTGTAATAGGAAGCCCACATTCACCATACTCCAAAGCCCATCCAATCTACTATGATGCCCCTCAGACTATTATGGATTACACACTACTTCCATTCCTTATTTAAATTGGGCTTCCTATACATGCTTCCAATGTTCTGTCAGAATAAGAGAACATGGAAATCCCATTAGCAGTTCCTGATAATCAAAGAGCCTTTAACACTCAGGACAAACAACCAGCTCTTCAAGCAGATGATCTTTCCACAGATCTACAACTGAGAAACAAATTATTGGACACCTCATGTTTGTTTCCTCTTCTGCTGATTTCTTTCCTCAGCTGAAAAAAATCCTTGTTGTCTTGGTATTCTTTGTCTGGACCACTGGTATTGTTTTTAAATGCCTGCCCAATCTGAACTACAATCTCTTTCATTTATTATTTAACTGTGGCTGACATATTTAATTGAAAGCTAGTTGTAAGAATAAGGAGGAGTGAATCTCTCCCTTTTCCTCTCAGGAATTTATAAGAATTTCACTTCTGGCTCCAAGCTCCTAAGTGTTTGTGGCTTACACTGAGCACTCAGCTGTGGGTTCCACTAGTATACAGGTAGTCCTCAACGTACAACCATTTGTTTAGCGATCATTCAAAGTTACAACAGCATTGAAAAAGTGATTTACAACCACTCCTCGCACTTATGACCATCACAGTGTCCCCGTGGTCATGTGATCCAAATTCAGGTTTTTGGCAATCGGCATGTATTTATGATGGTTGCAGTGTCCCGAGGCCACATGAATGCCATTTGCGACCTTCCCAGCTGGCTTCCAACAAGCAAAATCAATGGGGAGCTGCATGACTCACTTCACCACCACTGCAAAAAATGTCGTAAAATTGGGTGTGGTCACGTGATGCCTTGCTTAATGACTCCACTGGTTAATGACAAATTTTCCAGTCCCTATTGTGGCTGTAAGTTGATGACTACCTGTACCTACTACCAGTCTCCTGCCTCAGCTGACAAATATGGTGTTAAAATATAAACATGGTATTGTGAATCTCCAGACAATCGTTTGGGTAAAACCTCAACATAAACAACCAACACGTGTGAAAAGACATTCTTGATATGGTCTTTTCAGCTAAGCAGAAAAAAGATAATCTGTAGGTGAAAGATTTAACAATGGTTTCCTAATTCTAGTCAGGTCATATGTTGCTAGATTTTCATTAGCTCTTTTCCCCTGCAACAAAGGTGAGAAATTTAAAATAATAATCATACTATCAGAACTGAAAAGGCTCTAGGAGAATTTCTGGCTGGTGTTCCTGGGCTTCCCTTGGTCCCTAAGGAATACAAAGGCATCCCAGGCCAACTGACACAATTGGGTTCTCTTTCCTGGCAGAGCATAACAATCTTTGATAACAATCTATGCTAAGGACAATGAAGGAAATGGGAGGATGGCCATCATTCAAGTGGAGGAAAATGTGTATGAAGCAGATCAAACACAGATTAAACCTCATTTGCAAGCCTTTTCTGGAGCAGTGGCCAAAGAGAGGACAGCTTGGGGTACAAAACATGGGCCCTTCATGTTTACCTGGACTCCAAGATCCTTCCCTCAGCATTCTCACAGGGGTCCCTCCTACACAAGAGGTGGGTGGCTACAAGCAAGAGAGCCATTTCAGTAACTGCACCCTCCCCATCTGCAGCAATGCCCCCCACCCCTGCTCGCCAAACAACATGTTCTATTCCTTGGGTAGGAGGTAAAGATTTTTTTCCCTCTTCAAGCATTTTTATAACTGCCCTGGGGCTTTAATGCATTCCATTTTTGGCTTATGGCCTTACTCTGGCTATATTACATATGGCACATTTTAACTACTTGCCGCAGAATTAAATTTATGCCTTTATCATGAAATTAAATAACGTTTTAATGTAATTTCCCTGTATGTCAGCCAGAGAATGTCAATTATTGCACAAACTGAAAGTATCATGTTTCTAAAATTAAACACATTTTTATATTCACATATTTGACTGGAGAAATAAGCAGCAAGGTTTCTGCTGAAAAAATCATGTGAGATGCTTCTCAAAGCCAAGGTAAGTCGCCTTAGAAAATTCCAGGGGGAATCATACTAACTTTTGGAAACAGTGCCTTCTTGAACAAAACTTGTCTCAGTGCCAATACTTACTTTTTTTTCAAAGAATCTAATCCATATGTTCCTGCAGAATTATAATAACTACACACGGTTTTTGCATTAATTGTTTCCTTCATTGTCTCACCACATTGCTGTATTAAGCCATCCTGTAAACATACAATGATACAAAATGAATCCTTACTCCCAGGCCTAATGCTACAGGGGGTGCCCTCACCTAAAGCTGGCAAGAATGTTAACATAATGATTATCTAGATAGCTTTGGCTTGATCTGCAGAAACAGGCATTTTCCATGCCTGTTTCTGCAGATGATTAGGCAAAATTATACTCTGCCTTTATATTGGAAGGAGGAAAGGGAAGGACTGGTACGCTAATATTTAATTTTGAGACTCAGAGGCATCCTGAGTCACGGTGCTTGTGTTCTGGGTTGCAGCATCAATCATTCACCCTCATGCCCCCATATGGAAAGGGGAGGAGGGGTAAGAGATAGCGAGAAAACATCCTTCCCAGCTCTGCCAATCAAGGTGAGTTAGACAGATTTTGATGCTGGGGCCTTATATCTGCTAAGCATATGCTTTAAGACATGGCCACAGGATAACAGAAGCGATATGGCATTTACTATATGCTCATCCCTGGAATACAAATGAAGACTGGACCTACATGCAGAGCTGAAAGCCCTGTACTTTGCCAACCAAAGAATTGTAAAATAAAGGCAGCCATTTCCACTTACCAGCTGTAACATGCTGGCAGCTGCCAGGAGGGCAATGACCCTGCTAGGATTTATTAAGACTTCATCCCGGTAAAGTGAGCCAAAGGCGACCTGTAAGGCTAAAGAAAACTCCACGCTAAGAGTCCTCATACATAGAATACAGGTTATATATTTATTTTTCCCAATTCAATATTGTTATTAAGGGCGATATACAAAAAGTATTACTTCTCAAACAATTTTAAACATAATAACAATAACGTACCCAGAATATTAAGCAAATGGTAGTTCAAATGCTATTTTTAAAAAAACAATGTAAACCCTAAGCAGGAAAAATGGTTAATTTAAGTGCAGGCAGAAATTGTAAACGTAGGTACCCCTCACTCCAGAAAAAAAACCGTTCTGCAGTTTTTACCAGCTGACACGGTGGAACACTGAACAGAGCTTCAGAGGCTGATCAAAAAGTAAAGAATAGACCAGTATTTCTCAACCTTGGCAAACTTTTGAATTTTGGGGCCCCACCACCCCCAATTACCCAGAAGTCGCTGGGAGATTCTGTGGGTGAAGGGTGAAAAACATTAAAATGTCCAAG